GCCCAATTAAGGCCCTGAAGTGTAAAATACTTTTTACCAAAATCAAAAGGTTTTTTCAATAAAAGAGACATTTTGTGATGATGAAGTAAAATCACTTCTTTAATGGAATATGTCAGGAGTGAAATTTGGAATTTTCTGTCAGCTGTTTAAACTAGAAATTGAAATAATCCTTTCTTGCTCTCGAATGACGAATAACAAGGACATGACGGGGTGAGGGTCGTTCGTTGGTTCTTCGAACTGACACTCGGTAAATCATTGTTGGGTAAATTCGGAGAGGTAAATGTTAACCCGACAGTCTGAATAATTGTTTTATGGTGTTACCTATGGAATGGGTTAGCATCCTTGATTCAATTTCACGTGAATTTCTGGAGATTTTGAATGGAGAGGAATTTTCTGTTGGGCAAACAGACGCTGCAGGATCTTGACTTGCTTTATTTTTCGAGAGGTTGATTTATTTTTTTGAGAATCAGTGGAAGTCTCTTTTGTTGTTTAAATTATTTTCTCAATTCATGTCAACAATTCGGGAGATTTATCTTCAGTGTTGATGGAACAAATTCAAAATCTGAATTGATTCTGGATATTTGTGAGTTAATAAATAATTAAATAGTTCTTTAAACCATAAAAATTAATATTTTTGAACGAATAGAAATTAAAAAATCAGATCAGAATAAAAAATATATTCGATATTAATTTGAACTGATTTTCTCTTTCCAGTTGGACTTCCATTGTGAATCTGTTGAGAAAAATGGGTTCCCCTCACATCCCAAGTAATTATTTTACAACTTTACCTAACCTTGAAAGAGTATCCTTCATTCGATCTGAGCAGATTCTTTATTTAATAAAATAACAAATATTTATCAACAAAAAAATAACATCAACCATAAAAAATATAAAATAATATCCCCAACGGTTAAAATTACCGTAAAATACTCAATTCCTAAAAACCATTCAATGAATCATTAAATTAATTTTGTTTACCATTCAATTTTTTTTAATTTATCCAAAAATTAGGGAATTAAATAATGGATTGTTGTCTTTTATTGAATATTCTTTTCCATGCAATCGTATCCACTCAAAGGAACGATGGAAAAATGTGAGTATTTTAAGATTAGTGACCTTAGAACCTCAGAAAATATTCCTCAGGGTCTCGTCCACCAGAAGACGTTGAACTATTCCCTAAAGAAAACGCGTCGCGTGGATTGGCATACGCCTAAGTTAAACCAGAGAACCCGGAAGAGACGTACCTCATCCCTGTCATAAACTAATAAACGCATTAAGTACGTGGGACTATGAGGTACGTCAACAAGTCATAACCGATAACAATGGATGCACATCTCAGGCTATTTTCACGATGAATAGGAGCAAGGAGACTCGTGCGACCGTTCACTGATTTACGATTTAGCCTATTGCAGAAGAACAGAGCAAGGGCAAAGATCAATGTTACACTTCCTTGACTCTGGACTTATTACTCAAGGTAGATTTTTCAACATTGGCACCCGCTGGCACGCGAGGACACATTACACCGTAACGAGGGAAGAATGAAAGATATTTTTCCGCTTGTAAATGTTAATAATTCTCGAGGACGTACATTTTTTCGGTGAAACGTTAAAAAATGTTTCCCTCATTTCCCATTCTTTCCCCTTTTTTCAAAATTTTTATAACACCCGATTCCGATTGAGGGAATAATAATCATTAAAACATCAAATAGTACAAAATGTATCACTTGGATGTTCTCGAAGAAGTTTACGATGTACCCCTGCCCCGAACCCCCATCATAAAAATGAAATTTTTGTGAAATCTAGTATTTATGACTTAATTTCCCGATTTTTTGTCGCTACTAAAAAACAAGAGGTACTGGGTCAACATTTTCACTTCCCGTGAAAAAAAAATAGAAAAAAAAAATTAACGTAGATCCCATTGGATTGCCCTCCTCCGGTATTTACGATGGTCTCTTTTTGTTGGGTTTTGTGGTTTTAAAACCGGTCATCCCATACCTAGGACTTTCGAAAAACTGAGATATTTTTCTCGGTAAGAAATCGACTGGGCTTTTCAGAGGGGTTGAAGATGCGCCATGCGTGCCGGAGGACAATAGTGGGGATATTGTGAAAATATTGATTACAATTCAGCAACAATGGAGAACAATGTGTACCGGACGCTCGTACTTGAGTGAAAAAAAAAATCTTCTCGAAGGGCCACTTGGTTATTTTTCCGATGTCTCCGGTACAGGCTGCCTCCAAGGAGAATATGACAATATGCATATGGAGTCACGTAGGACAAAGCGTTATCCAAGCTCTTTTCTCTTCTTACACCCTTGACTAGAGAGGCTAAGTTTTAGACAGACATATTGCTGAGTCGTCTCGAGGGACAATTGTATCAGTTACTCGACGTACCAACTGTTGTATTAATCATTTTTATTTTTCACACTGAAATTTTGACTTTTATCATTTTTTTACCCCATAAAATATAGGCATCTTATATGCAAGGTACATCGATGATTTTTTGGAAGGTCCACCTCTACCGATTTTTCCGATTTTCTTCATTTCCACAATTTATTTTAACATGATTCTCAGAATTACGACAAGTGAATTTTTCTGGAGATTAATTTTTTGCGGATTTCTCGGAATTGAAGACCGATACTGGTATTTTCATAGAGACCTTTTTTGTGGGGCTCATCTTTTTCTAAAAAAAATGTCTTCACGAAGAATTCGCTAGGTGCCGTCGATTCCGAGATATTGCTTGAATACTGGCCTCGACAGAGTCAGAGTAGTAATGCAGATGTTTTCCTTCATTCTTCGCTCATCACGATTTGGAAAAACGAAAAAAAAAAAAAAACGGGAATAATAGTTTCATTTCTCTTCCTCAAAAAAAGTCTTTGAACTCATGCCATGACATATGTCACGCGTGTACGTTACCAATAGCACGGTGTCGCGTGTCAAAGATAGCGCGACACATGCTTTCAACCCTCCACCTCCCCCACCCTGAAAACTGCCCGCAATTAGCCATCCTAAATACCGCCACACTTTGTGTAATTGTTCGAACTCAGACCTCCATCGAAGTTATTCCGGAAAAAAAAAAATCCATCGACAAAAAAATTTGGTTGTATTACCTAATGACACCGGCATCTGGTGCTTGAGCATTTAATCATGAGGATCTGACGGAATGAGCGATCCCCTCTCCCGTGATTAGACAAACGATAAGAATAGCTAAACGACACCCTGACAGGTGTGGAGACTCGCCCTTTTGATAATTTATCAGTGAATTTGTTAATTATATGAAGTATAATGAGTATTAATTATTTATAGAAATTGATATTCTGAAAATGCGAGGGATTACTCATTAGTGGTGATTCATTTATTAATTAAAATCCCAAGAAATCATTCCTAAAATCACGGGAAATCGGCGATCATCGGGTCGTGATATTCGAGAACGAATGACCCGTCGTGAATGCCCGAAGGAATTTATTCCTTATAAATAAATAAATCGTTTTATCATTGCAGAAATTGTTGTTTAAGGAGAAAACTGAAGGTGCGAAAATACTCAGTACGAAAAGATATTTGGCATTGGTACATACCATGTCATCACGTTTTCCCTCCGTTTTACAGATGTGTCAGCAGAATCGAGCATTCAGTCAAGTGTCTTCCATACTGCGGTCTTATTACCGGTCACGGACCGAACTCGCCTTTTATCATTGCGATCTTTCTCGAGTGTTGAAAATATTTAAATTCCGCAAACCCCTGCGATCACATTATTTAAACAATACATAAACCAGAGAAAATCCCCAACTATTATTATTTTCACATAATTACGAGGCAAATGAATTATTTTAATTAAAAATCATTACGAAACTACTCCTAAAACTAAATTCAATTAACAAATATCGGCGGAAATTTTTCCGCATTTTATTCACAGAATAAATAAATAAAAAAAAAGAATTTAATAGGGTCGATGGTTTATCACTCCATTGAATTCCATAAAAATTAAATTCATTAATTAATTCGGTAGGTAATATTATAATAATTAACAAATCTCGTGTGAAATCAGCAATCACTGCGGTTTTTTTAGATTTTCAAGTGAATGACTTCTCGATTTCCATGGGAACGGAATAAAAAAGAATATTATCCTCGTGTTATAGTTCTTGATCAAGGATTAACTCGGTAGAATTTCATTATTAGAAGTCAATGAGCCACCAACGACAACGGTCCAACCTACTCTCCGCCCAATAGAAAACAAAACGCCTCCATACTGAGAAAAAATTCATCTCAATTGAATATAAAATGTGTACCGTGTGCGTAATCACGAATCACTTGGCAGCTCACTCGTCTCTCTACTGTAATCGATTGCTCGTCGACCCCAACTTTTTTGTTTATGATCATTCTTCAGTTTCACTGAGCGTTTTTACAATGAATTTTTTTTTCTACTGGCAAATATTATATCGATATCGAAACCACTTCTCTTCATTGTTTTCAGTATTAGAGGGGCCACTGGGGGCCAGATTTCTCGGGGCTTTTCTCTCTTCAACATTTGCCAAGCCGTAGGATATTCTTTGTACTTGTGCACTGATCCTGCAACGAGATCTGGAAACTTTTTTTACAGCATTTTTATGGCTGACATTGCATGTTCGGGTTAACTCCATTCTATTCAAATTCTTATATTTTTATTTATTTCTCTCTTTATTCCCTATCGCATATTGCACAGATGCACTCATGTCTTATCATTTTCCTATTTGTTTACGAATTATTTAATATTTTGTTCTCTCCTCAAATTCAAAATCTCAACAGCAATTTAAGGGCAAGTTAATTGAGAGTTACAATTGTTGGTGGGTAAAATATTTTTATTTGTTTATTAATTATCTTGAGAGCGTGAATATGTTTTCAGACGCAATCACTGCGCAGTTCAGGCTTTTTCTGTCGTGAGAGTTCAAACTTCAGTGAAAAAACCAGTCGTTTGGTTTATCTTATCGAGCGCGAGATTGGAAAATCGTTTTTGTATGTATGCACTTGGGGATTAATATTCGGATGACAGGAATCAGTCGCGCAAGACTCGTTGACAGAACAGTATTTATTTTTCGCGATCGAAACATGAATTTATCATGGGTACTTCCGATCTCTGGATAAAAGACATTCTCACTGTTTATGGATCTACTCTCTTGACTATTCTGATAATTGTTTATATTATTAATTGGCGCTGGACGAAATTTGTGAAGAATATCTATCGACTGCATTTGATGGGATTCGAAACAGAATGTGCTGAGTTGGCAGTGAATTATAAGGAACGATTATTTGCTCCATTAAATGAAGCATTCAGTAATGATGAAATATTAAAGGTGGAAGGGGCTATTAGATTGTTAGAAATCGGAGTGAAAACTGGTGAGCAATAAAATGGTTTTTACAAAATAAAAATCGAACTCCAATTCCCAAAAATACGATATCGTCAGTCAAAATATTTTTAAACCTGTCCCAAAAATGATGAGCAATTAATTCAACTCTCCGATTAATTTTATATTATCTAATTGCAGTTGTAAAATTAATTATTTATGTAAAAAATTATTTTCTTTGCGAAAAGGGGAGAATTTCCATTTTTACCCCGACAAAACTCATCTCATCTGTGTGGACTGGAATTATAAATTGGAAGATTACTTAACGAAAAGCGATCGCGCCTGGCAATTCTCGCATATTAAATTTGAGAAGCTGATAATCGGCGATGGGACATCATTAAAAGAGATTCCGAGTAATTATGTGGATGCTGTTGTCACGGTGAGATCATTGTGTTCATGTTCCTCAGTGCGAGAGACTCTGGGGGAAATTCGAAGAGTTCTAGCACCGGTAAGATAATCTTTCCGATCTTACCGATCATCGATCGGTAATTTATTGTCACACAACAAAAAAGTGACCGTCTGACCTTATGACGGTTATATCCCCCAAAAAAGTGTGCAAACTTTTATTTATAAAAAAAATAACTTATTCGTTATAAAATGTTATGGAAAAATTATTCTATTGAATTTCTCACTGACACAATTAACTGATGGATATTCACATGATTAATTTATAATTTAATTTTTTAATCTTAATTATTTTGATTAATATCTCGATTTTTACTCTTCAAATGTTAAATAAAAAATTGTCGCAAAGAAATAAATAAATTTGACATCATGACAATTTTTTTTGTGAATCGATCAAATGGAATAATTGAATAATTAAATAAATAATAATCAGGGGTTGCCAGATATTTACAAAAATTGACTCTATTAATATTATTATTTACTTTTTGAATGTTATGGAGATAATAAATGAAAAGTATTTCAATGATTCTGATTTCAGGGAGGGAAATATTTTTTTCTGGAGCACATCCCAGAGCAGGAGGAGACATTCACACACTGGTTCCAGTGGTTTTTAACAAAATCTAAAATCTACCCGTCATTATTCGGTGATTGCAGACTAGATTCTAGTCCTCTCAACGATATAAACACCGCGGGTTTCTCAAAAATCTCCTGTGAATCAATTATCCTCAAAGGCTACGTCACGCATCCGTATCATTTATATTTAACTCGAAACCACATTATGGGCATTGCCAGTAAATAATTAAATAAAATACAGATGCATAACATCGGAGATCCTTGTAACCAGTAGAAAATCATTTAACAATTTTTTATTATTGAAAGTCAATCATCGATGTACATATTTACAATGATAATCTACTCGTTGAGTCTAGTCAATTAATCAAAAAAATTTAATTGATTCATTCTTTTTTTTAATTTCAACAATTCCAAATTGTACGTTGGATACCTAGGGCTAGTCTTCTCTGAGAGGAATCGAAAGAATTGCAAGTGGATTTGAGTTCGAAAAGGAAATATTGATAGGAACCGTTTCTCAGGCGTTTAAAAAAAAACTGTAAAAATGGAAAAGCATCGGAAATAACTCCAGAAAAAGGCACAGCTGAACATCCGAAAAAATCCCGAGTCACCGGCCCTAGACCCCAACAATGTAACAATTCACAAATATTTCATAAAATAACCATATCCTCAGAATAAAACGTAATCGTCAACGATTTCACTGTCATAAAATGCGTCGTTTACTAAAAAAACGTGAAAAACACACGAGTCCGTCAAATTAAAAGCGATTTTTTTTTTTCATTTTTGGAATTGAATTTCTCATTAATAAATTGCTAGGATATTTTTTTACACTGAACGAAAAATAACGAAATAAACTGATTAATCACAAGATAATTCACAAAGAAATAATATTTTACATAACTAATCCTCCAAGTCGGAATCATCTCGTGTTCGAAGCGTTATTACTGATTTTTTTCTTAAATAACTGTTCGTATTCTTACTTAATCTCCGTTCGTAACTTCTGTTCAATGAAATATTTAAATTCTCACCAGTATCCTCGAAGGGGTTGTGAAATAATTTTGTACGTTGTGTGTTATCAATATCACTATGATCGTCATCAGTTAATTTAATATTATTATCGGTGGGTGTGCGGAGGAAGAAATCAACAGAACTATCGTCGTCTGAGGTCACCTTTCTCGTCGAAATCCTCATTTTTCTTCCCGAAGAAATACTTTTTCGGGGACGATTTACGGACGATGATTTAACTGGTGAGACCTTTGGACTCGATTTTCTGTTATCATTGTTGAGGGATTTCTCCAGATCACCAGGTATTCTCGTAATTGATACACTGAGGTCCATTAATTCAATATCTGTTGATTCAATCACTGACTCTGATTTTTCTTTCTGTGATTTTATCGACGCGAGTTTTTCCACTGGAGGTTCTCTCAGTAATTTGACAACTGGAAGTGAATTCATACTCTTAATTGGCGACTGTAGTCTCATTATCGATGACTTTTGAGTAGTAGAATTTTCTTGGTGATTCAAGGACTCTAATTCTGCCTTGCGTTTGATTCCACCAGGTTTCGTCCTCCTGCTCATCAGAATCATCATCGATTCATCCGATGAAGCAATAGAATCTGACTCTATTCTCTTTATTGGCGTATTCTTACGAATATTCTCGGTGAGTACTTTAGCATCTCCAGCCTCAGTCTTAAATTTCTTCGGTGGACTCTCCTCGATTTCCTCAGAGTTCTTCGACGACGCGTCATCGTAGCTCAAAACCCTGACAAAACTCGGTCTCTTCGAGCTTTTAATAGACTTCCCAGGACTGCCATATCTCGTAGATCTCCTACTCGTCTCTTTAACCTTCACCTGCGAGCTCTGATAAATCTCTTCCTCATCACTCGGCAGAATAATCCCAGAAAATACTGGCTCACCCGTCAAATCATTAATAATCTTCTTCTGATCCTCAGAGTATCGATTGTCTGGGTTTCTCCTCTGGGATCTTCGCTCAATTTTTTCATAACTTTTCTGCAGTTTCGTGACGAAATCAGTTTCGTCATCTGACGAAAACGTGATTATAGGATTGGAGAATCGTCTTCTGGCCCCAGTTGTTGTCCTTCGAGTCGTAGGTCGAGTAGAATCCGAGCAAGAGTCACTATCAATTGCCACAGTGACAGTTCCTATTGCTACAGATACTTCTCCCTCGTTCTGACTCTCCTCTTCATTCTCATCATCTTGACATCCTTGTACAGTTTCTGACGAACCCTGGGAAGTCCTGTCAATCCCCTCCAGTAATTCACTTGTATCTTTCGAACGCTTCACTTTAATTTTTTTAGCATTGACTTTCCTGGAATTTCGGCATATATCCTTATTCTCTTGGTTCTTGAGCGCCAACCGACGTCTCAGGATCCTGATTGTGCGACTATCAAGTTTCTTCGCTATTTTCCCATCGACTCCATTATTCGTTTCTTCCGGAGCATCTTCAGGGTCACTCAACTGTTTTCTCGATCGAGTTGAATAAGGAGAAGATTTTTTATCCTCTGATGATGTCGTTTTCGTTTTTGGGACCGTTTGTGAAGCTCGAGATTTAATAAACGCTTTCTTCCCTCCGTTCTCATCCTCTGGAGTTAATTCTTGAGAATTTTTCTTGTTTTTCGGCTTTTTATCCCCATTTTTATTCCTGGGAGTCAATTCCTGGGATTTTTCAGAATTCAAAATTGATTTTTTTGAACGCGTGATGATGTTTTCAGCAGATGTTTTCTTGCCTTTCTTCTCATCACCTGGAGTCAATTCTTCACCGTTCCCAGTCTCTGGAAGGGGATCAGAATTAATAATTAACTTTTCCAAACGTACGAAAGGAGCAGAAGGTTTTCTCCCTTTCTCTTCACACTCCATCATGATGATCGTACTCTGATCGCTCTCTTGAGAGTCCAGCTCAATTTTCCGAGACTCAGAAGCCTTTTTCTTCTTCCTCAAAGATATCTCCGTTGTCGCCGGAGAAGCTTCCAGCCCCGAGTCCACTCTGTTTATTCTTCCATACCTAATACCACCTCTAGGTCCTCTCTTCAATTTTCTATCGGATTTATCTCGATTTTTTGTCAGAAGATTGTCAGGAAGCCTCTGCAGTGGAACAGTCAGAACTTTTTTAGCACAAAGAGACATAAGATCGTGACACTCATCAACTGGCACCGAACTCTGAAGAGAACTCTTCGAAGAGTCCTCCATGTCCTCATCAGAATCAGACTCAACCTCCCGATACTTGACCTTCCTCTTTTGACTCCTCTTGGAGGTCGTTCTCCTAGAAATTCCACAGATGGTCTTTCTCTTCGTCTTAGTATTGAACTTAGGAGTGGGCACGAGTCCCAGTGTCTTCAAAAATGTCTTCTCCTTCTTCTCAGATGAGGGATCAGATGAATCCTTACCGTTTCCTGAATGCATACGATTCAAAAACAATTTGCTCTGTCTCCTGGCGTGGAAAGTCGCTCTCTTCTTCAGATTGGAGATTTTCCCTCCGAGTTTGGGTGTTCCCTGGAAGGCAGGATGTAGATTTGCAACTCTGGGAACAGTTTGATCTTCACTGTCCATCGTGGAAGAGACGATGATATCCATTGGGGAGTTTCTCCCAGTAAATAATTTCCTCCTATTTGCCTTTTTATTGAGAGGAAAACACTTGGGACTTGCTCTTCCACTGGAATCTCCAGATCCCACCTCAGAGTCTTTCAACCTATGAATAGCTGCATTGGTTGGTAATTTACCCAGTTGTACGTCAAGAGCTGGAAGTACATCAGATATCTTCATGATCGATGTCATGGCCTTGACCTCAGAGTCCTCGGATCCCTCAAGGCCTTCACTAGCACAGGAATTCAGTCTGCTCCTGTTTAATGAACGTATAGTCTCATCGAGTTTACTTAGGATCATGGAGGCATCGTGGGACTTATCCAGGGAGACATTATTATTATCACAGATTTCGTCGTCACGAGGTGGTGAATTTTTCGTCTGGGTCTGATTAATCTCTAAGGGATCTTTGGACTCGAGAGGATCTCTTGGAGTTGGTGGATCATCTGGTGCCTTGCCTTCCTCCAGAATTACCATCGTCATCGATTTATTTGTGATGTTGGTGGAGCGGATGTACGGACCTGTATCAATTGACGTATCGTTGGAGATGCCTTCTGGTTTCTTTGGTTGAGGTGATGCGGGCATGAGGTCGGTTGTGATGGGATATTTCGGGAGTCTTGGACAATCCTCTTCGCTGAGAGATGAACCACTCTCCGATTTCGAGAGGTTGTCCATCATCTGGTAGGGAGCATTGCCAGTGTCCACCCAGTACTGGATGAGAGATTGAGACTTTCGTATTGGTGTACGACTCTTGCAGAAGTATTCACCATCGTCATCCTCCTCGTCATCGTCCTCCTCGTCGTCGTCTTCCTCCTCCTCATCGTTCTCATCTTCTCCTTCTAGAGCCACGTCCTCCTCCTCCTCTTCTGATGGGGAGTTGAGATTTATTTCAATGTCATCAGATAACTTAAAGTGAATGAAGAGGAATTAAAATCATAAGTGTTGGTGAAAAGCAATTGTTTACCTTTTGTGAGTACTTTGCGAAGAGATTGTCCCATACTTTCTCACGTACGTCAATTATTTCTTGGGATAATCGGTGGTGGCCGAGACTCTCTTGACTATTAGTTAATCTACCGGGGAGTTGAGTATTTTTATTGTTTGGTATGAGAACAATTTGGAAAACTAACCTCTCGATTTTTCATAATTACGTACCTTTCGAGGCCTTGGACGTACGATTGCGAGAGTAAACCGTTGGATCCAGTTGAAGACTTATCCATTCCTGGCGGTTTCCTCAAACTATTATCCGGCCAACGCAATTTTTTATTGTATAAAGCACTTTGCTGTTATCATTATTGATGGCGCGTATGAATAATAACAGTGGGAATCGGGAAGGGCGGGAAGTAAACAGGAAGTTAGTGAAGCCAAAAAACAGGGGACAAGTTCTCTCAGGCGGCACGAGACAGCGCGGCGGTCACTATCACCTTCCCCTCATCTCCATGTCATCCCCACTCTGCAGCTGTTCGGCACTGGTGGGACTATTTAAAAAATGATATAAAAATTATGGGATGTGTGGTATCTACATGACCTCAAAGTTTCAAAAATAGAATAAACTATAGAAGCATTATCCAGTCTCCAAAAATCAGGCAATAACAATAAATAAATTGATTCCTCTTATTTTTTATTAAAAAATAACAGCGACTTACAGTTGATGCAGCAGTTTTCGCA